TCATGCATATCCTAGTAGATAGTATATGCATTCTATTTCATCCACATTATAATAAGATAACACATGCACTCTATTTCATGTACATCTTAATATATAGTACATGTATTCCATTTCATCCACATCGTAATAAGATAACACATACACTCCATCTCATGCACATCATGATAGGATAGTATATGCACGTGATCTCATGCACATCATAATAAGATAGATAGTACAGACACTTCATTTTTTACACATCTTAATGATAGTTTCAATTTCATGTAAGCATATCTCATGCATATAATATGTCAGTGCATTTCATATAAGTATGTTGCATCAGTCATAGGTATACATCTCATTACTCATGTATTATATCATTGCATTTTAGGCATGTGGATTCATAATGTGATTTTATGAAACATGCATTGTACAAATTGCATTTCATGTCTCACCATCCATGCAACAAGATATTGCATTCATTGCATTCACATTTCACAGGTGATGTATTTTTTATTATTTGGGCCTTGTGCATATGAAAAATCCATTATCTTAGACATCTTTGTATTTCATGACATTTTCTTGCATCAATTATTATTGCATCATGCATCCATGTACATATCATGCATATTTACTATCATGCAAGTTTAGTATGATTTTGTTTTTATTTTTATTTTTAAATTTTCATAAGGGGTTATTTGCTTTCGTTCACATCAAAAGTTGAAAATATGGAAAATAATTAAAGGCATGAATTAATGCTTTAGAATGCAATCAAGAGAATTTTTACATGACATTCAAAAGATGACCCAATAGCTCATCAAGTTGACAAAAATGGTTAAGGCATTCAAGGAATTTATTTTGGCTCCATCTAAAGGGTCTTTAAGAATTTCAGCCCAATCAAGTGCCAAAAACTCATGGAGTTATGATTAACTGATCCTTGTTGGATCTAGCATTCTTTTTTAGCATACTAAGACATTCGATGGTTCAAATAATGATCAAAGTTTGGACAAGGTCATGAAAGGAATGAAGGATTTGATGATACAAATGATTGAACTCAAAGTTTTGATTTATAAGACGGAGTCACCAGGTTTCATGCAACCCTTACAAACCATTTCAAACCCAAACCTACACTTAAACCCTCATCATGTTTACTGTCGACCACCTTTTCAAGTACCTAGGACAAAGCCCCAATATTTCATGCAGCCTTTAAGAATTTCATACCTCAAATCATATCCTCAGCTTACCATTCCCTAACCACCTATTCAACAAATTTTTCAAGTTCGAACCTTTGCACCACCACCAAATATTTGGAGTCCCAATCAATTTGTTGCCCAAAAACCACTCAAGAAGAAAAAACATACATAGTTAGATCCCATTCACATCTCATATAGAGAACTTCTTCCCCATTTGGTCTAGAAACACCTTATTGCCCCTATGACTCTAAAGCCTTTAAAGCCTCCATATCCTAATTGATATAATCCGAATGCAAGATATGAATATCATGGTGGAAATATAGGGCATTCCACTGAGAATTGTGAGGCTTTCAAGCACAAGATGCAAGCGTTCATAAACATGAAATAGTTCGATCCAACGATAATAACAAGTTAGGGATCTAAGGATGATGAAAATGGGTTGGTGTTCATAAGGTTCATTTTTTATAAGAAGATTTTCAAGCAATGAGTTGCTAAGGCAATGCAATGTTTTGCAAAAAGATAATCCTCTGAGATTTTTTTCTTTTTATTTATCAGCAGAGATAAGTTTCAGTTTTCTTGATTATACATATACCTATTCTATGCCAGAGTTATGGATCAAAAACCATACATTCAATCCATATCTAACATTGCTTAGATTAAAAGTTCTAATCATTTTGCTTCTTATGCATTTCTAATCATCATACTTTAATAACAATTGTTCTTATTGAACTAAAATTTAAATTGCTATGTTAAGGATTACTGACATTCTAAAAAATCTAAATATTACATCTCCAATTTATTTCTCCTTTAAAAAAGAATTCACTTAAAATGACATAAGCCACATTCATTGTTGTTTTGAAGAACCAATAAAAGAATCCATTTCCTTACCCTAAGATAGTCCGCACTTCTAGAAACATATATATATATATATATAACACAATATAAAATTTTTTAATTTTACATAATTTTTTAATAATTGATTTCAATAAATCAAATGAATAAAAAAAATAAGTAAAAAAATTATTTTACAGATTAAAAATAATTAAAACATATATCTAATATAGAAATAAAATTTGAATATCTATAAAAACAAATAAATAAAACTAAAAATATGAGAAATTACTGAAATTTTGGACCAAAAGCCTAAAATGAAACCCAAAATTGATTTTTAGCTCAAGTCAAAGCTGGTCCAAACGGAAATCAATGCTGAAACAGGTAGTTCAGTAATTTCTGCCTTCTCAGCTGCCGACCGCCATCCCCTGTTGATTGTTCTACTGATATTTATATAGAAATTAGGTTTCGACAAAGATAGGATTTTAGATTAAAACAAGAATTGAAATTTTGAATGTGTTCGAACTACTGATCCTATTCATTTAAATCTTGTTTTGAAAATCCTCATCTGATTGATTATCATTTTTATTTTTTTAAAATTTTTTATTTTTGTTTTTTAATTTTTTTTAATTCTTATTCATCTTTTATTTTTGAAAGAAATGATGAAAATAAAAGAGCTAATGAAAAGAAAATTTGGGCCTTGGTCTAAGTTAAAACCCAACCGGCCCGATAATAATTAATAGCGAAAATCAATATAGCCCAAAATATCAATTTTGTATAGGCCTATCTAAAATCTAATTAGCAAATTCGATTATCAGATCTTTCAAAGTTCAAAAACAGTTGAATCAATGACAAATTGAAAAAATATAGAAAATTTCATAAAAATTTAAAAAATTAAAATATTTTTATTAAATAAAATGTTAAAATTTTGGATTAAATAAAATATTAAAATTTCATAAAAATATAGAAATTTTATAGAAAATAAAAAATTCATCATAAAAATTCCAAAAATTAAAAAAATTAAATACTTTTTATTAAATAAAATGTTAAATTTTCAAAAATAAAAAGTTCAAAAAATGAATTTTACTTAAAAATTAAACTATTAAAAAAGTAATTTTAATAATTTAAAAAAATCTAAACATTTCTAAAAAATGAAATATTAAATTTTTTTAAAAAAATAAAATCTAATTTAAGAAATAAAAATATTACTTTTAAAAAATTAATATATTTAATAATGTTAATTTTAATATTTCAAAAATATGGAAAATTATTTAAAAAATTGAAATGTTGATTTTTTTTAAAACAATTTGAAATCCAATTTTTTTAAAAGTTAAAAAATGTGATTTTTATTAATAATTGAACTAATATTTTTAAATTTAACTTGTACGAGTAAAATATTTATATGAAATTATAATAAAGAGATTAAATTTAAAATTTCATGTAACTATACAGATCATTTGTAAATTTAAAATTTGATTTTATCCATTAAAATTGTCATGTCAACAAAATTAATATTATATTAGTAAAGCCAACATTAATATTATCAAGTCACTGATCACGTCAACATTTTTAACGATAAAAAATTAATAGAATTAGTAATTAAATTAAAATCGTTAAATCAAAATAATATAAATGGACTAAATTTATATGAATTATGTTTAAAAAAAAACTAAATTTCAAATTTTAACAAAAAAGAAAAACCTCTTACATAATTTAAGTATTTTTTAAGTGTGTAGCAATATTTATTGGCAACTATCTGAATCGGAACGGAGCCTAGCTCTAATACGTATTATTTTACGTATATACATACTTCAGTTTAAATCTGTATCATGCCATTCATAGCACTAACAACAATCCTTACTTTCGGCTGGTCATGATGAAGGGAACTTGGAAAAAATACGTTACTTGTTTCTCTCTTTGATTCGCATTTAGTTAGTCAAAAGAAAAGTTTGAAACTAATTATTTTCTTCAGAAATATCTATATGAACTTTGAAACTGGGCCCATGAACTGGGCTCCAAGATGTCTCATGAGCCCTGAAGTAAGAGTATAAGAAAACAAAATGTAAAATTTGGACGACTTCCTCTTCAAGTTTTATTTATCTTTTACATTATTTTTTTAATAATATCTAAAAGCAGCTAGATTATTCTCATCTCGATCCCCTAATCAGAATGCAAGTGTGCAATTTTTTTTTTGAAATATTCATTTTCTCTTATTATCATATTATCAAGGGAAATTATACTAATTGATTGAGCTACTTATTATAATACGAGTAGATTGCACTATTAATTTGTGCCATTTAATTTTAACAATGTTTTATTTTCATTTTTCGTTTGCAATTTAAACTTTTCGATTTTTTTTCATCTAGATTTATTTCAAATTTATCTATCCATTAATGTTTCATTAAAATAAAAAAAAAATTATCACCTATATATCATCAAAATATCAATATTGTAATGTATTCTATTTTAATACTCCCTTCATCTTAATATTATTGATTTTTATAGAATTTTAAAAAATTTAATTGAAAATATTAAATATTAAATATTATTTTTTATAAAATTAAAATTTCATGATTTTTAATATTAAAAAAATTAAAAAATTTTAAAATATAAAAAATAAAATTTTAGATGTGGAAACATATATAGATATATATAATTTTGAGATATTTAAAAAAATAAAAAAAATGAGGAAAGAGTAATATATATTGATAGATAGAATAAAATTTAAACAAATTAAAAATCAAGAATAAAATAATCTAAACTTTTTAATGTATCAATGAAAATAAAATATTAAACGAAATATTAAAAATGTGGTGCCCGTTGCAAGTCATTTTAGACCACACATTGACATTTCAGTTCTACTTCTACACTAACGAAAAAAAGATTATAAATGTCTCGAAATCTGATAACTCGTGAGAAGTTATACCCAACTTTACATTTTTCCTTTATATATTATAAAAATATATATATACCACTATTACTATTACTTTTTTGGTGATTACATTAAAAGCCCTAAAGACAAAACCCACCGAAAGCACTGAAACACTTTGATTTCATTTCCAACTTCGGACTTGGTCAAAAGAACACCATTCATCTCAGTCTCGTATCATACCAAACCAACAAAAACAAAACAAATTGAAAAAAAAAAAAAAAAGGAAGCATGCAACCGGAGAATTCCGAGCTCTACCGTTTTCTGGCGCAAAATGGCATTGGGTCCTACGGCTTTCCTGCCAATTCTGAGTTTCCAGTTGTGCAAAGCTTTTCTAGTTCCTCCACGTACTACCCTTTGGAGATGTCTGGGGTTACTACTGAAACGACTCCACAGGATAGAGCTCTTGCTGCCCTGAAGAATCACAAAGAAGCTGAGAAAAGAAGGAGAGAGAGGATTAACTCCCATCTCAACAAGCTTAGGAGCCTTCTCCCTTGTAATTCTAAGGTATATTTTGTTTCTTGGGGTCTCTTCTACATCAATGGAGCCATACACACCATGTTTATTTGCTCACGTGGGTTTCTTGGAATTCTAAAATCTTTGAGTATACATATAGTAGCGTTTTTTTAGAAATTTGAATATTTTAGAGAAACGGGTTATGTTATTTTTGTCAGGAAAATGTTCTTCTCTTTTTTGTATAATTTGTGTTAATTCTTTCTTGAAAGAAGAAAATAAAAACCCTTTATCTTATAAAAATTTTGAACTTTTGAGCTATCAAAACTTTGGATTCGTTTTCTTTGGACGGCTGAACTTTGAATTTTTGAGCGTTTGCTGTACTTTGTGCTTTATTGACCGTTTGTTTACCTGGAAAAAAAATAGTGAAAGATAGAAATTTGCGACTATGAGAAATATAGATCGATTTCCTCTGACCCCGCCCCACGAAAAAACAAAAAATTTACCAAATGACTTGACGTTTTCCTAACACAATTTTTGGAGCAGTTTTAGCAATTAAACATTGCAAATCATATATAGAAAGATCCAAAAATTCTAGTTTCTTTTGCTTTACCCGTCGAGTTTCCTGGAAAACCAAATAAATATCTTGTTTGTTAGTATACTTAATCACTAGATGAATTAAAGTGTTTAGAATCTAAAATCTTGGGATCTATATCAGGCTTTTGAAGCTTTAGAAATGTTCAAACAGCAGCTGCTGCCTGCTACAGCTTTAAGGAAAGCATTTCGTCACTTTTTCTAGATAGGGCTTGTGCGTTTGGGAAAGTGAATAAACTTTTTAGAATTAGGGTTTTCTTTTATGATATTTTCCTTTATTTTGAAAATTTGATTTGAATTTTCTCAGACGGACAAAGCTTCTCTTCTAGCAAAGGTGGTCCAACGCGTAAAAGAACTGAAACAACAAGCCCTTGAAATAACTGAACTCGAGACTTTACCATCTGAAACAGATGAAATCACAGTGCTTTCATGCGATTATTCATGTGATGGAAGATTGATATTTAAGGCTTCGTTGTGCTGTGAGGACCGATCCGATCTTTTAACGGAATTAATCGAGATTCTAAAGTCTCTCCATTTGAAGACTCTAAAAGCAGAAATGGCGACGCTTGGAGGAAGAATCCGCAACGTTCTGATCGTTGCAGCAGACAAAGATCACAGCATTGAGTCGGTTCATTTCTTGCAAAATGCATTGAAATCTTTGCTCGAACGTTCAAATTCAAGCGATCGATCGAAAAGAAGACGGGTTTTAGATCACAAAATAATAGTCCAGTGATTTCTACAATCATTGTTTAAAAATATCATCTTCAACTTTTTTATTTTTTATTTTTATTTTATTGAGTGGGTGTAGGGGTGGGGGAGTGAGCTTGATTTTGTTTTCTAGTGTGACATGCTTTTTAATTTCTATGTTGGGTTTGTTTAGCTTGCTTTTGGAAGGGGGAATTTAAGATACGGATGATTTAGTTGAAATTTTTATTTATTGATATAATAGTCAGAAATAATTAATAAAAAAATTAATAATCTAAAAGAATTAATAAAGAAAAAATGTGAATTAATTACTTTTATAGCTTAACATTTAATTGGTGTTAATTTAAAACTAGAAGTGACTAACTGATTATCATATGTGCATATAAATAAAATATATAAATACTTTTAGTAAAAACATTATGTAAGATTAACTTATAAGATATGTACATTTGGGTTATAAAGGTTTTTTTTTTTATTTTATATAGATAATAAATACTTAATTTTTATTAATTATTTTTATCATCATATCTAAGAATAAATATTTTTCGTGGATCACCCATTTTGTAATTCCCCTTCCGGCAAGAAAGATCGCAGAATCGTGGGGTTTCCAATACCTGCTGCTTCCTGCTATGACTATAGGGTTTAGATTTGGGAATCTGCAGCTAAGATTGGAAAAAGAGGAAGGAAGAATCAAATCCAATAATCTTATCCCAAGTTCTGAAATCTGAATAAATCATAAAGATGAATGAACACACACACACACACACATATATGTGTGTGTGTGTACACTCGGTGTCTTTTAGCTGCAAAAAGCAGTTATTTTGTGTGAGTTTCGAAGCTCTCGTAATTTGTATATATAAAATCCATCTGTTTTTCATGTTGAGGGTTCTGGCACTTCCATCACTGAGAATTTTGTTTTGTACACTATGTTCGGGCAAAAAGCGTTAAGAGTGGAAAGATTTTGAAGGTTCTTAAAGGATTCTGTTTACATCCAAACTCAGATTTGATGCTTAATTCATGGTCTGTTGAGACACTGATAGCCTCATAAGGGACACTGGTTATCTGCATGGGAACTGATGGTTTCTTTTTTTTTTTTTTTTTGGGGGGGGGGGTGGTTGTGATGTTTAAGTTTTCAGTTCCAGCTGCAATATTAGAGAACACAATAACATCTGAGGTTGGGAACATTCTCACGGGAATCAAGGAGGATCTCTGCATTTTCAAAGCCTTTGTATATTATATATTTATATGATTCGGGGTTTATTGCTACCATATCTTCGAGGTTAGACATGTTAGCTTTGCCCTTTTTGTTATTTTTGCTCTTTTTCTATACATCTATTCCTTCCTTTCTCCCTTATCGTGAAAGAGGAATCAAAGGCTTCAATTAGATAAATTATAATTTAAATCAATCGGTTTATATAATTATTATTTAGATATAATTTTAATAAATCTAAAATTCTAATCTTATTTCTTACAATTCATTCTTTTATTCTCAAATTGCAATTTCTTTAAAATATATATATTATTATTTTTATCGAGAGAGAAAAGATGCAGCTACACATCAAAACAAAGATGACAAGTCCAACAAAGAGATTCTAAGTAAGATAATGGTACTAATTCTCAATCATTCACAAAATGGCATAACTTTTGATACCCTAATGAGCTAAAATACCACATTTATATTTTTTGAAACTTTTTAATTTGGAGATTAGTGTTGAAAAATTTAGAAAGGAAATAGTGAGATTAATGAAATGATAGAGTTATCCCTTTATTTAACTCAAATCTCAATTGCTATTTATATACAAAGAAATTGGTCATGAAGATTAAGAAATATTTTAATGTCAATGTATTTTTTATAAAGATTTAAGAAGTTTTCTATGATATTGATGGGTAATGGTAGTAATGTCCAAAAGTAAAAAAAAAAAAATTACAAAAATATAATAATATGAAATATAAAAGGTAAATTACTAGTAACAAGTCTTCTCATTATTGTGGTGAACTTATTATCCATTATATAGTTGTGGGATGTTTTTGTATTGTATGATCTACTGGGTTGCACAATAGGAGATAACTCCCTTTCTATCAATAAATCCAACTTTTCCATCAAGAATTCAACTCTTATTTTAACCATTAGACTATTCCCTTCAAGATGATTCTTATATATACCCCCCCTTTTACTCAAATATATGCCCCATTTTGTCAAGAACTCTATTTTGTGTGTAGCGTGAAGGTAATAATGCCTCTTCCCAAAAATTTTGCCCTAAATCAGAATAGGACACAACAAGGCACAAACTATTTTGGTTAATGATATCATTTTTCTTTTAAGTGCACCATTTGATTGTGGATTATACTGTGTAGTCACCTCATGGATGATTCTATTAGATTCAAAATAATTAGGATCAAAATATTCATCTTCTCTATCAATTTTTAAAATTTTTATTCCAGAATTATAATGCAATTCAACTTCATTTTTATAAGTCTTAAACTATTGTAATGCTTCATCTTTTATTAAGTAAACATAAAAATATCTTGAACAATCATCTATAAATGTCACAAAGTATTTTTCACCACTTATAGAAGGAGTACCATGCAAATAACATACACCATTATATACTAATTCTAGAATTTTAGAATTTTTTGAACCTTATGACATGGTTTCCTAGTAATTTTAGTTAGCATGCATTTTCTACATTTTTCATCATTTTTTTTAACAATTCGAATTAAATAAGATTTAAACATTGCATCCATTTTATTATAATAAACATGTCCTAATTTATAATACCATAAATCAAATGAGAAAAGCATATAAGCAAAAAGAATTATTATTATTACTATAGGTATAACCCATTCCCACAAATATGCCATATTTAGACAACGTAAACTTGTCTCCTTCAAAGATTGACCTGTAACCATACTTATTAAGCAAGCTAATAGATACAAGATCTTTTTCTAACTTTTGGGACATACAAAATATTGTTAATTGTTAATGTTTTACTGAAAGTAAATTCAAAATCAATTTTCTTTTGCTTTCGATTTTAGTTGTTAAAAAATTCCCTATATATAGTACCTTGCATTATTTTTTCTCTTCAAAAGTCTTAGACATAGGCTTGTTAATGGATACATGCTTTTTGGAGCCAAAATCAATCCACCATGTCTCCTTGTCTTCTATGACATTAATTTCAAAAATTATAGTAACAAAGTTATCCTTAATTACTTTTGTTGCATCCTTCTTTTTCTTGATTGTAAAACATTCTTTCCTAAAGTGACCTTACCTTTCACAATGGAAACATGCACATTTTTTCTTTTTGAATTTCTTTGCATTAAGGGGCATTCCCTCTTTTTTGTGGACTTGGATGGCTTGACACTTTTCACCACATGGACCTTGGAAAAACTACATTCATTTTCTTTAAAATCTTTCCATGTGTATGGGAATTTATCAATTATGAAGGATATAATGAAAGACTCATCCATTTTCATCTTGTGTTGTTTGAATTTATTCAAAATGGTTTCAAATTCAACACATTGATCCATGAAAGTTTTAAAATCAATCATCTTAAACATGTTCCCTAGATATTAGGAACTTTTTACTTGTAGCATCTTCATTCATGTACGTTGCATCCAACTTATCCCTAACTTTTTTTTTGCTTATATACATGTAATATATGTATCAAATAGGGAATCCAAACATACCATTTAAAATTCAATCCATGCATGTGTCATCATCATTCTCTCACTTTTATCCTTTACAAATTTCACTATGAGTTTCGTCATCTTTCTCTTTCAGTCTTGGGGTTGTGAGAATATATGCTATCTTTAATGTGGTAAGGAAGGACATGCATACTTTGTTGCCACTTTAGAAAATTGCCTTCATCAAATCATTTCAACTTTTGGAAGTTGGTTGCCATTTCCTTTATAAAAATGAACTTGTCCTTTTTGCAACATGTTAGCCATAAAAATGTTAGATAATATAAGGTTTAAAGTAAACAAAACAACATGAACTTTTTTATTTTTGTAAAACTTATGATCTTTTTGTAACCTTCCTTTTTGCACCTTGAGTAGAACAAAATGGAACATTCAATGTAGAATGAAAATGGCTTCAAGGTGTGCTACTAATGCTACTGTCCTTAAGGCTTATTTCGCCCCTACCAATAATGGTATGGAAAAAAAGTTAAACCAAAATGCCTTCAAGATACAACAGACCCTATGTTTGATTTACCTTGCACTAGCAAAACCAAACTACTAAAAACCCCTTGATAAGAGATAGAAACTCTTCGTCTTTAAGCAGGTTTTTTTGTAGCAAACAATAACTAAAAAACAAGCCTTTATTTGAGAAAAAATGAAAGATAGAAAAGGAAAAATATGAATTTTTGAATATATCAAATTAACTTATAATAATTTCTATTTATAAGGTTGAATCCTAACATTATAACTCTTTGATTGTATTGTTTCACTCAAATATCACTTCTTTTGATTAGAAATATTTTTTTTGAATAATTAAGGATGAATTGGGTTATTAATTTGATCAAACTTTTCATACCAAGAGAAACCACTTTTTTTTTTTTAAATGTAACTTTTTATATAGAGCAGTTGATTCCATCTAGATGGCAATCGACTATCCCTTTGTATTTTCATTTTCTAGAATGCCATTTGAAGTAGGGTAGCCAACTCTTCCTTAAAGTAGTCAATTCCTTTCAACTTACAAAATACATTCTTCAAGTGAGCAATCGACTGCTTCATATGGCAGTTGGCTTATTTCATTTTTAGAATGGTTCATCCATTAAAGTAGTCGACATCTCTTTGATAGCAGTCTACTACTATAGCCTAACTCAAATTCCAGAAGAATTTAATCAATAAAAATTGATTCTTCTAGAGTTAGGAATCGACTAGTCTAATTTTTAGCCATAGTAGTTGATTACCTTAAGCTAGCAGTTGACTGTTAATTTGTATAGAAATTATATTTAGCTTCTCTTTTTTTAATTAAAGTGGTCAATTCCTTGCCAAAGGCAATCAATTACTAGCCCTAGAAGATTACTGCAATCAACTCCTACGTTTAAAGTAGTCGATTACCTATATTTACAATCTTCTAGTTAGATATTTTGAGTCTTAGAACCATACCTTACATTATTTATAACTTAATATAATTTTTTTTATTAAGTACTTTCCTTAATCATATTATTTTCATGTTTTAAAAAGATTTCTAGTAGGTCTTGGTTTTGGTTATTTCGAACTCTTCTTAATCTCTTTA